TTATACTGTATGGTTAAGTACATTGTATCTGTTTATATTTATTTATTTTAACTTTTTTAATTATTGCAACGTAGCCGGGTCTTCCTGGTCGTCATCAGAGTGTGATGGGGCATTAATGTTAGTTGCTATAATTTTCATGCCACATTGTGCCACTTCAGGAGAGGTTTGCATTAACCTGCGTTACAGCCCGAAGTTAATATGCGGCCTTAGTACGAAGGACTGGCTCGCTGCCTGGTCAATGCATGTTGTGGCAATGCTCTGTATAGACCTTTCCACTAATAAATTCATACTTATGCAGGCATGCGTACAAATGGCTTTGGCGGTAAGAAGTGTGAGCGAGCCTTTGAAAACGTACAGGCACGTCAAGGGTAACTAAAGGAACTTTGCTGTCCTGCTCCAATATAACTGATATCGGAAGTGAAACTTTCCGCTGCAATAGCTGTGAGTGCACTTTTACTTGGGGAAAATGACGGACACAGGTTTGGCAGACAGTAGCATTGAGTTGTAGGCCCTATTATCAAAACTTGGGTTTTGCAGTCGTTGTATGTATTTATAGAATCGGTCAGAAGGGAATTAATAGCACAACGTACTCTGAGGAAGATTGTGTGGGTAAAGTTAAGAGCTATAGGTCGCCAACTTCTGCCCGAAAAGCGATGAGAGACTAGAATTGTGGTAGGTACAAGCATTTCACAGATATATTTTTCAGCGATCTCAGGAAGTCACCCTAGAGAGGATTGCTAAGTGCGGATTATTGGCAGCCACACTGGTGTCGGGAGTGCGGATTATCAAGCTGTGAAGTGTTCCTTCATTGTTGATTCTAGCAAATTTAAACCTATCGTGTTTGTAAATACAGAAATTGCTGAGAACTGAAAGGCAAAGGCATTGAACCAGTTCCCCTCGCCGATAATTCTTGTCGTTCAGTACTCGTTTATTTTTGTGTCGGTCGACAGATCTGCCGACTTTAAATTACCATGTGGTGATAATGTTACGCTCCCACAAAATTTTTTCCTATATGCATGTAGCTAGATCATAGGGTACACGTTATTTCAACCACAGCGAGAATGCAATGACCATCCGAATTACACGCATTGTACAGAGCACACTGCATACCGCGCACGACCCGGTTGCACGATGCTGCGGCATGCCCCTGAACTGCTACCCCGTAGCACATTTCCAACTTTGTCATCTTCCCTCAAATCTTTCTTGGAGTCGATCCTACTTTCAGTCACACATATGACCCCTACATTCGACCCACACAAACCCTCAACTCATACCGTACATGTACACTGTATGCCTCCCGCCAAACCACGTACACACCGAAAGCCTGTGGCAAATTACCTTCGCTCATCCTCAGGTTTACCCCATACGAATCCTAGATTTACCCCATAGATGTCCTAGCCATCCAGAGAGTTAAGTGTTGTACACAACCGAATGTACCGAGAGAGGCTCACCCTTTCTTTTCCCTCGTCGACCAAGTCCCCCGTAGCTCACCCACGAGCGGCCTTTCACCCTCCCGCTCCCATACTTCTCGGACCTTTTTGCTCTCCCAGAAACTTTTTTTTTAAGTCAGCGATGACCAACAAGTTTGCACAGAATCCCCATAGACTTTTCTTCCAAAGACTTTCTACAAACATGAATAATTCATGACCACCCCAATCCAGTGGTCCCATTGGCTAAGACGCGACCCCGAAAGTCTATAGAAAGCGACCTGCTTCGTCGGTGTGGTTAGTGCCGATCATTTCCGAGCGGGCAGCTTTGGTGTAACAAAACCTAGACCGTTCGTGAGTGTATAGCTCTGCCATGAATAACTTTTCTATCACTCCCAAATAAATAGCGTAGATTTGGACGAGCTGTATTCTTATTATTCTTCACATGATGGACATCCCATAGAGTAATATCCAGCCTTACCAGCAACAGTGTTCATTGTAAATGTGGAGACGATGTAAATAATTCTTCAGAATAAAACAGTAGTGTGCGTAAGTCAATCAAATGACTGTCATCTTTTTGATAACGGCTCCCTACCCCAAGAGAGACGTTACAATATATTCCCGACCGTGGAGCAAGTTCCAACGAAACGACTCCATAGTCCCTGGACTTTTAGATTGCTTGTCAGACTCAAGTACCAAGGCAGGGTTTTAAGATTTACATTTGGTGACCTTCTCCGAAGACAGGAGAGAAGTTTTCCTTCAAGAACAAACGCCACAGTGTAATAGGCACACAATGAATACAATGCGCACAACGCTAGTTGCAGGGAAATAACATAAGGGGAGTTGAATGCAAGCGACGAAGCTCCATGATTTTTTTCTTTCCACTATCAGCATTTCGATTGAATTGCTACAAAGACTTATCCAATGCCTTGGTAAATACGGATACTTATTCATTTGAAAGGCAATGCAAGATCATATCTCTTGGGATTGATCATATCTCTCAGGATGGATTTTTAGCAACTGTAAAAATAGGTCTTTGCATTGTATAACTTCCGTTGTGACAACGTCATCAGCTTTGGACCTTACACACGCGTTGTCTGTACGATAGTTCTGTATTATCTAATTAACGGTTCACACTTCAGCGGCTATCTAATAGCCTCGTTCTACAGTTGCA